TATATATATATATATATATATATATATACTTAGTTCTTGATTAAAAATGGATTACTGTACTAATTCTTAAAGATTATTTACAAGCCATTATGTTAATAATAATAATAATTTATCAAACCTTTATAACAAGAATAGTAAATCCAGCCTACTCACGATTTCTGTAAATAAAGTTTTATTGGAGCACAGCCACAGCTATTCATTTATTGTCTGTGGCTGCTTTCAAGCTACCATGGCAGCGCTGAGTAGCTGCAACAGAAAAAGTATGTCACATAAAGCCTAAAATATTTATTATCTGGCCCTTTGCAGAAAAAGTTTGCCAATCTCTGTTTTGTGATGTGCCAAGCGTCCTAATTGTCATAGCCTCATTCATCATTACCACTACCCAGTAACTATGGATACCATCCTACTTCTAGTGGAAGAGATTGAGAAACAATTGTCAGACTAATGTTGAATCAGTGGGAGAAAACAGCTCCATTAGGGCAAAATTATTATTAAATTTATATCCCTGAAAATTTTAGAAAGAGGATGATCTCTCAAAATCTTTCCAAATATTCTGGTACCTTTTTAAAACCATAAATAGTTCATTTCCAGGGTCTGAGATTGACTAAGGAAGATTCACTCAAATCTATTTTTCTGCCTCCATACATCCTGAAACGTGAAACTATCCCAGATAAGCTGTCTGGGATAGTTTGTTCCGAACTATGATCCACAAACTACCTGCATCAGAACAGCTCAGAGAGCTGTCCAGGCGATCTCAGTCCATGCCAAGAACAATCAGAAGTCAAGAGTATGGATGTGGAGCCTTTTTTGTTCCCTGAGCAAAAGAAAGTAATATTCTCAAATCTCAGCAGGGCTGCAGTCTGGATTGGAGACGGGATTGAGGTGAGGAAGGAGGAAAGGGGACTATAAAGCTCACTGGTGACTGGCATGAGGTCCAGGGGGTCATAGAGGCCCTGCTGGAGGCCCCTGAAACCCTGTGAGCTCCACAGCTCAGCCTGGGAAATATTAGCATTAGATCCCCCCAAACCTCCAATTTTCCCTCCATTTCCCGAGCCTTAAATATGTTCTCAGAAATAGTGAGAAAGAGCAAGGTGTCAGGTATCCTGGCCTCAGAGCCCCTGAGGAGCTAGAGAAAGAGAACATCACTATTACAGAGGGTGGCGTTTGTAGCTGAAATAAAGTAATTGTTTTCTAACTCAGTGAGCAAAGCTCTAGACAGGCCAAGGCTGCATCGGCCAGCTTGGCTCACATAGAGAACTGTGTATTTTGAAATGTGTCCAACCACTGAATGTGACCATCAGTGCGTAGAGAACTCCCAAAGGGGACAGGTAAAATAGTACAGCTGTTCCCAAGATTAGAACTGCCCACGTTCCAATAGGATAGCAGAAACCCAACACCCATGCCATTGTAACTTTCCCTCCCATGTCCATTGAAGACATTGCTAATCAACCGTGATACCTCCCCCCGCCGATGAACTTCAGAATCCTTCCTAACACAGTTCTCCAGAGAAGCACTACTAATCCATCAGAGTGGGAACTGAAACTGCTCAATTAGAGGGGTAATTAGGTTAAAGCAATTTGGTTCTTTGGTTAAAGTAATCTCAGTCAAAGCAAAAAGTGAGCCCAGGGACCTTGGGATATCAGACAGAAATGGTCCTTATATAGGTCACAGGCTTATATAATTATAAATACACAGAATATCATAGTTGTCAGAATTAAGAGAGACGAGTTCTAGATCCAGCTGTGCCAAACTAGCTGTGTGACTTGGGAAGGTCAAATATCCATGCATGAAGCACTGTGGGGACACAAAATTGAGAAGGATTCACCTGCCCTCCAGGAGCTGTCAGCTAATAGTAAAAGAACAGGAACCTACAAGTCAGAAACAGTGCTATGGGTATTAAAATGAAGACAGGATTACATCCACTTGAGGGAAACCAGGGTAGGCTTCATGGAAGACATGGTACATGATGGACTTTGAAGAAGTTCAACAGGCAGATGAGTCTGTGTGGGAGACGCCAGGGAGGGAACCAGTAAAGAAAAAGTCCTGGACATGCTTGGAAAATAAAAATAGCTTATTAGTGTGTGCAGCTCAGAATGTTTGTTCAAGAGATTCACAATTTAGAAAGCAGAGGAAAATGAGAAACAGAAATAAGGAGACTTGTTGTTGTGTTTGTTTTGTGTGCATGATGTGAAGACCCAAATATGTTTACAGGTAAAGAGAAGACATCTGGGTGGCAGGACATGATTGGAAATGACTGAATACATAAACTCAAGCTAGGACAAGATCCTGGCAGAGAAAGGAAGGGGTGGAGTCACAGGCCCAAGTGGAAAGGTTCGCCTTGCAGAGATGGACAGACAACCTCCTCAGAAACTGGAGGGAAGAGGAAAGGAAAACGTGAACACAGAGGAGAAACAGTCGAGTAAGGGAAAGAAGATCCAGGACGCCCCACCTCTTTCAGGAAAACCTGGCATCTGGGGAGTGTGAAGGAAAGGAGGTGGGGAGTGGGGTGGAGGGTGAAGAAAATGAGGGAAGGTCGTGGAAAAATGTTGCAAGGCACGTGACCGAACACCAGAAGGATGGGAAAGAGGGTGATCCAGCAGCAGCCAGGTTAACGAGTCACTCCAGTTTTATAAAACGAGAACAAGGAGCCAGTTTAAAAAATGGATAAAAGCTGAAATTACTAGGGGGCTGGAAAGCAAGGGGAACAACCCCTACCTTCAATCAGCAGCCCTCTCTTCACACAACAGCCTCTGTACCACCTTGAGATGCCTCTAGAGCCTGACTGAAAATCCCTAAACCAGGTGGCCTTGAAGGGGCATTCCAGCTCTAACATGCCAAGAGTCTCCTAGGTCTTTCTAGAGACACCCTATCCCTCTTCCTACCCCACCATCCACACTCCACAAAAGGTTGGTTATCAGTGTCCCTCAAAACCTGTTCTAACAAAGCCTGTGCTTACTAGAAAGTGTACAAGGGGGATCCTTCGTGCCTGTTCTGGGCAGAGGGCGCCTAATGCAAAATTAGACGGGCAAACTGCAGAAATCCAGTAAGACACATGTGGACACAGTTCCCATTTCCCCAAAGATTATAGAGATTATAAACTACTGTGCTTCACTCAACACTCAGAGGGGCATGAATCTGGTCTCTCCCAGCCACCATAGCCTTAAGTCGTTTGTTAAACTAGAAATTGACAGCATTAACAGAATATTATTCATTATGCAATGCCCTCATAATCTAAGCACCACTTCTCCGTAATCCTTTCAACAACACCCCATGAAACCAAAGAAAACAGGGAATTGCCTATCATCCAGATACGACCTCCTGGCTCTCATCCACTTCTATATCCTCCCATATTTTGCTGTGACACTGTGTGAATCTGGACAGGTGAGTTCATCCCATTAGCATGTAATGAATGAAATTGTAATTCTGATCAGGAAATTCATAGTGGGGCCCAATGTTCATCTCTCAAGGGCAGGATACCAAATCTCGCTAGTGATAGTTGGCATGTATCGTCTGGATCACCTTAATACTGGTCAGTGTGTGATTGTCTAAGAATTAGCATCCATTTCATGGGTGTGTCTTCACTTGCACAAACACATCCACGCTCATGTGCATGCACTGTTTGTACAGGAACATGTTGAAGAAGGCAGAGCCAGCCTCTACAAGTCTGTGGTTTCCAACAGCTGCAAGGAAATGTCTTGCTACTCAGATTTTCCACTCCCAGAAGATTATCCAAACTATGTGCCCAATTCTCAATTCTTGGAATATCTCGAAATGTATGCAAACCAGTTCAGTCTTCTGAAATGCATTCAATTCAAAGACACAACACCAATTAGTCCTTAGGAAGTACCTTTTAACATATTTCCTGTGCTCTCTCTGTAGCCTAGTCTTAGGCTTTGTAGATGAGAAAATGAACTGGCAAGACTGATGACATCTGGATGGATTCCTTTTCCCCTTGTACTTAACCTCGCCACAAGTGAATCTGAAGTTGGAGATAGATACTTTGTGTAAAGACTCACATGCATTAATTTTTTTTTAATTTTTAATCTGTAATACTTATATCCAAGTATCCTAAGGGGTCTTAAATATATCAAACCATATTTTCACCTTGGGCCAATTGCCTGCACATAAGGAAATTGAGAACTATCAGCACCTAGGTACTCTCTTCTTGACTATCCTTTGATCAGACTGGGCATGTGCAATGACCCATACACAAAAGAACCTCACCATTTGAGGCAAAACTTTTCTCAATACCCTTGGGAATAGAAAAATCTTTTAATATTATTCTTCTCACTGCCTCAGCCACCTCCCTTCCCATTTCGGAGAACAGAGAGGAAGGAAGGTAAGATGTGAGTAAATGAATATATTCTCTTCCTCTTCTTTTCTCCTTTTCATTCCTCTCCAAAAGACAAATGAAAATCCATGTGTTTCCTTTCTCCTGTTTCCCTCCCTGTTGGAGATGGGTATGTTGAGGAATTTAAAAGAAAATATACAGAGAAAGCAACAGGAATGGAAAGATTGATGAAAACAAGTAGCAAATAAGTTTACATTCACAACCTTAAATGTACTCCTGATCAAAACAAACTCGAAGAGGTATCTCTGCCTCCATGTTCACTGCAGCATTATTTACAACCACCAAGACATGGAAACAACCTAAGAGTCCACTGATGGATAAATGGACAAAGAGAATGTGATACACACACACACACACACACACACACGATGGAATGTTGTTCATCCATAAAAAAGAGAAAGAAGGAAATCCTGCCATTTGCAACAACATAGATACACCTTAAGGGTATTATGCTAAGTGAAATAAATCAGAGAAAAACAAATAATATATGATCTTACTTAAATATGGAATCTAAAATTTTGAACTCATAGAAAGAGAGAATGGATTGGTAGTTTCCAGAGGTAGCCCAATTCAATTTACAGGGTTATGTTTATTAATTATGTTTAGTCTGTGCTCTAGAAAGTTTGAAATATCAACTGGCACATCAGCCTTTACTGGAACTGTGACAACTATTCATCACGACATCTGATTCTTTTTTCAGACTTAAGTGTGCAGGGTAACTAAACGCCCAGATTTAACTGTCACTGGCCAATGGGTCACCCTGCATGAAGGGAAGCAAGAATCCACCGTCTTTGATGCTGTCATGGTCTGCACCAGTTTCCTCACTAACCCACATTTGCCACTGTACTGCTTTCCAGGTGCATTTTCTGCAGCTGACCTTAATTTGTCTCATGGAGCGATCTTGATACTTGATTGGCCTGGGAATGAATGCCTATAGTTCCTCCATTAAGTAGCTAAAGTTGCAAGTAACAGGCTTTTTGCTAAACTGCACTTCCTGGCCAGTTTTTGGCTTTCATATGTCCCAAACAACCTATGAACACCAAAAAGTCAAATGAACCACTAACAAGCAGTTTTATGCTCCACTGAGGTTCAGTGTCCCTCCATAAGACATGGGCTGCCTAGACAAGTTGGTAGCCTAAGCACACTGCCAGAGTTGAGCTTAGAGGCCACCAAAGTCAGCAAATAAAGGAAAAAGCAATCTGATATTTTTTTTTATTCTATGAGTCATAGCAATTAACTAGATCAGAGGTTTATGGCACTGGGTCACTCATCAATAGGGAGATGAGTCTTGGAGGCAAGTGAAGACAGTATTGGGTTGCAATTTCTTTTTCTGTCTTTTGCAACCAAGATTCATGTTCATCTCCATCAAATATCAATGGGGTAATAACTCAGAGGGCACAGAAAATGCCACGGTTTGGTTTATTTCATCTGCAGTAAAGTATTCAAAAAGTTAAAACTTTAGGAAAATTTTCTCTAAATATGACCTGTAGTGATCCCAAGGCTCATCTTCCAGTAAGTTCACATATTTCCACTGGTTCCCGGTCTGCCCCAAGAGGTTAGTCAAATCAGGTCAAGTTAAGATAAAGCATATCCTGAAAACTGCCTAGAGCAGAATCACGAAAGGAAAGCACCAAGTTAAGTCTTCCCAATGCAGGAAACCCCTCCATTATCCCTGAGGGAGGCTCACTAGCCTCTGCTTGAACACATTCAACAGTGAACTCTCACCACCCCACACGACAACTTAATTCTTCATCAGTTGTTGCCTGAAGAAAAAATTCCTGAGCACTCCAAGAACAGAGAAAGTTCCATCGCATTGAGAGTACACTGCACTTATTTAGCACCTACAGTATACTGCACAAGATGCTAAGAATATATATATATGAATAAGACATAATGTAGCCTGTATGGAAGGAGTATATTTTTTTAGGAGTCCGGTAGAGAAATGACAATCTACGTATAACCTGGAGTGATACCAATACTCATTTTACAACAAACTCATATACCTCCAATGATCCTAGATCTGCCCCCCACATGTCACTCAAGTCAGATGAGATTAAGAGAAAGCATACTCTGAAAGCAACTGAGTCAATATACTCAGTTTGACCAGGATGAGCTTGGGGCCCAGGAGATATAGATTCTAGGCTATACAATTAACAAGCTAAATGATCTTGGGCCTTGGACTTAAGCTTTCTAACCTTTTGTCTTCTCCCCCATAAGTTGAAGGTTCTTGCTCCTTGTTTGTGAAAGCTCCATATAAATCAAATATCAGTATATAGGATGTTAGTCTCCCACTGATTTCTGTTGACCTTTAAATGGTTATGATGCCTTATACTTTTCTTAATAAATCTTTATGCATGATATTTCAATTTAGCAGTTAACCATCCAGTAAATAAAACTAGAGACCTATCTAGTGGAGTTAGTGCCTCCATTGAATAAATACTCACTAATTTCTGTAGTTTGTAAAGTCATGTATTCATATTTCAGCTTTTCTTAAAATTGAGTGTGTTGTTATAAACAACCTAAATCATGTGTCTAAAGGATGTCATTGATTGAACAATACTTATGTTTCACTCACTGACCCTGTAAAGTCTCTATCTGATGTCTTATTTTTTTCTATAGGTATAAACGTATTTAAAGGCCAATACTTTCATAGCCGACAGTATAAACATCCAGATGTATTTAAGGACAAGAGAGTTCTTGTGATTGGAGTGGGAAATTCTGGCATAGACATTGCTGTGGAGGTCAGCCACGTGGCAAAAAAGGTACCATTCTTTGTTTTGTTTTTAGTTTTAAATGGTTTTTTATTTCAATTATGGTTGCTTTTGAACCCATGAATAATTTTTTTATTTCTTTATTTTTCAATTAGAGTTGACATTCAATATTATATTACTTTCAGGTATACAGCACAGTTATTAGATTTTATATAACTTATGAAGTGCTCCTTCCAATAAGTCTAATGCCCATCTGACATCATACATAGTTGTTACAATATTATTGACTATATTCCCTATGCTGTACTTTACATCCCTGTGACTATTTTTATAACTGCCAGGAAGGTACCATTCTCAATGTTATTTAATGAAGAGCTTTATCTTAAGACATAGGCCTCAGGCAAACAGTGCTGGACATCATAATAAATGATTAAAGGAATAAAAATGCTTAAAACACACATACAACATGAATTTTTTAAAGTATTTTTTCTTAAATGTTTATAAATTTTACTGCAAATTCCAGGTGGCATCTTTCCTTCAAAACCCACTCCTCAGACTTCCTATTTTTGTTGTTTTCCCAGTCATCTCATGAGAGTTCCCAGAGGCATCTGTTTCTTACTGAAGTCCACAGGTCAGACAATCCCGGCATTCTCCTTGCAAAGATCTCCCATTTGCTTCCTCTTTTTTCTAGTAATTGTCATCAACACCATCAGACCCATACCACCTCACACAACAGTTGCTGTATTGTCCTCCTAATAATAATGGTAGAAATAGTTAATATTTATTGGGGCTTACTCTGTGCCAAGCACTTCACTAAGTGCTTCACCAACCAATCACTAAAGCCAGCCACTGAAGTAGGTACTGTCAGTACCCTGACTACAGATGAAGAAACTGAGGCTTAGAGAGGTTAAAAAACCTGCCTAAGATCATACCCCTAGCAGGTGGTAGAACCAGTCTTCAAATCCAAGTATCTTTAATTCAAAGCCCCTGTCCCTAATTCTACCCTGCACCCCACCCGTCTACCCTCCCACATGACAACATCCAGATGTTCAACCACCAACAAACAAATCCTCTGAAAAGCCTGCTCTTGTTATGACACTATGTTTAAAAAACAAAACAAAACAACTTCTAATAACTCCTCTATCTAGAATAATAGTAAAAAATTGTAGATGTATTAGCTCTGCATTATAGGGTTCTCCATAATCTGGTCCAAATCTGCCATTTTAATTTTATACATACCACCCTCACACTACTTTCCTGCATAATCATCAACTATAGCCTGACAAGTATATTCTGAGCCCTTTCCAACCCCATGCCTCTGTTTCCCCCTTTGCTCACACCACAAACCCCTTTTGCAGTACCCTTTTCTCTTTCATTACCATTTACATGGACTATTTCATTACCATTTACATGCTATCTCAACCCAACACAAAGGGATCTCTCCCTAGTAAGAACTGATGTAATATTTGTAATGTACACTCCTCAGCTGATATGTTTTAACTCTTACTGTTGCTAATTATGTTTACAGTATACATTTTCTTTCCAACTATGCTATAAATGGCTCCAAAGAGCCATTTGGCCAACAAATACATATTAGTTGTTGGTTTCTGATGTAACTGGGGATACACTGAAGAACGCAACAAAAAAAAGTTCCCATTATCATGGAGCACATAGTTGTGGGGAGAACAGATGCCAGTAAATAAGGATAAATATAACTAGATCAGTGATTGCGAGAGTGAAAATAGCCATAAAGAAAAAGAACTGGGAGTGTTTAACTTTGATATTCCCTTCTGGAACTTTCAAAAAAAGGACTTGATGACTGATTTGTTGATTGACTGACTGATTTGGAAAGACTTAGCAATCTGGTGAAGTCATTCTGAAGAAAGAGAAAGGAGGCCCTAAAACGAAAATTAGTGTAATATCATCCACTATGACCACCACATGTGGGAAACAGATTATTATGTCTATACTTCTAATCATTTGGAAATTTCTTCAGTCAGAAAACATGCGTTGGCACACATCTTATCACTTCTGTATCAACCAAGAAACTCCTCTCTGTTTAGAACAAAATTCATATCTACCAACATGTCCTATCTGATTCTGCATCATGACAAAGAGGCAGGTTCAGTGCAACTATGTCCCATGTCAGAATCACTGATTTGCTCACAATTCTTGCCCCACGCTTTCTGTATTGCATATACTGCTCCATTATAAAGCCAAACAGCATATATAACAAAAACACTGACACTGTAGCTCTGGTCGCCACACCCCAGTTTGTTGGGGAGCGGGGGTGAGCCATCTGTTAAATAAGTTGTTTTGTATCTGCAAAGTAACAGATTGGTAGACTAAATTTTCTGAGTTTTAAACAGTTATATAGACAACTTCCTATTGTATAGGTACAAAAAAAAGGCCTGTTAGCTTAGTGAACTCAGTCAGCTGGTAAACCCAGTCAATCTATAAATAAAAATAAAAAGTCCACCAAAACTAACTGTATTACTGAATTTTACTGTCAGTTCAAACAATGGTTTCTGTTGAAATCTTTTCTAGACACCTTTCAATTGCTGCCACCCCATTCTTATTTCTATGATTATTATGTCTTAAGGCATTTTAATACTCTAGATACTCAAACCATTATCTCAAAACAATTACTTTAAAATAGAAGCTGGGTAGGTGGGGTGGATGTGGGGTAGAGGGGATCAATGGGGGGAAAGGAGGGACATCTGTAATACTTTCAACAATAAAGGTAAATTTTAAAATAATAATAAAATGACAGTAGAGAAGGTAAAAAAACAAAACAAAAAAACACACCACCAAATCCAAAAATAAATAAAATAGGAGCTGGGGGAGACAAACTATCTTGTCTGGGATGTATTTTTAGGGTAGCAGACTTTTTGATGTCATTCAATTTGTAAAACTTGTTGAATCTCTGGCACAGCAGCCCTGTTCACTGTGTCAGACTGAGTGACCTCTCTGATTGCTTCCAAGTGTTCCTTAGCACCACTGGAGGGGCATGGGTGATCAGCTGAGTCTGTGACTCAGGGCTCCCATGGGACATGGTGTTCATGACTCGACTACAGAACATGCTCAGAAATTCTCTCCCAACTCCAATTGTGACTTGGTTGATGGCAAAAAAGATAAATAGCTGGTTCAATCATGCAAATTATGGCTTAGCACCAGAAGGCAGGTAAATATGATGTATCTGCAGAGGGCTATTAGGAAGAAGGAGCCTCCATCCTTCTCATGGCATATCTGAACCAGGCAATAACATGACAACATGACTGAATATGAAGGAAAATTCCATACAAACTTCCTGGATCATAGTAGCTAACCCTTTTTGGGTTCTCAGTAAGTAAAATTATGATTTCACCTTGTCGTCAACCTTTAAAGTGAGTATTATAATCTCCCTCTTCAACTTCCTACCTCCAAGCCTCCCAGGGGTTTTGACTTGTTTCATCAGAGATTTTTCTACCATAAGCTTTATCTAGCCTGGGTGGCAGCCCATGGGACTATAAAGCATCTCATTTAATCCTGTAAACTCCAGAAAATGTGAGAGGAGACTGAGGAATTATCATTCTTTAATTTCCAATGTTCTTAATATGTACTATCTCCTGTGCTCTCCATCCCACCCAACGAACTAAGTAAGGCTGGCAAGTGTTCAAATCCCTGTTTGACAGATAAGTAAAAGAAAGCACAGAGGGACCAGATGACATTCCCAAGCTCTGTCAAGTATAAACAATGCCCTTTGCATTTTTTTAAATAGCCATATAATCTCTGGGAACATTTTATTTTAATTTCAAAATCACCACAATCAGCTGTTGGATCTCTTTCTTTCTTTTTAATTTATTTTATTTTTTGCATCACCATTTATCCCCTCTATGCCCTCTTCCACCTCCCCCCATTCCTCTCACCCAAATCATCACACTGCTGTCCCTGCCCATGAGTTCTCTCTTTTTTGCTCAGTCGCTCCACCAGCCACCACCACACCACGGCTACCACCACCAGAGCTGCCTGCCTGATTTCCCTCAGTCTGTCTCTATTTTGCTTGGTGGTTCGGTTTGTTCGTTATTATGATGCTGTCTCTTGCTGCGGATTCACCATAAGCCAAAAATGGCTCAGCCCACTGAAAACCACAGTGTCTGTTTAGTGATTCCAGAGGCATAGCCAGAAAAGGAGACTTCTACCCTTGTTCCTCGGACGCGCACGCACGGTCTCCTTGTACAGCTGCTCCTCGGACACAGCCTCCGGCCGCGGCCACGGTGGAGTCACCGATCCTCCCGCCGCCCCGCAGCCCCGCAGCCTTCAGCTGTCTCCCACATGACAGCGACAGCCGAATGCTGAAATTCAGCAAGCTTTGCCCTCTTTCCCCTCAGGCTTCCCAACCCTAGTAAATGTAAGTCATTCTCCTGTCCTTCTGGGTCACTTGCGAACCCCCACGTGGTCACTTGTCCCACGACTGGCTCCTCTCAAGATGGTGGCAGGTGGGAGGACCTCGCCCTGGCCCTCGCCCCCTCCAGAGCCACGTCAAATACATGCGTGGGGCGGGGGCAGTGGCTCCTGAGAGACACCCGAGCGCTGAGTGAGCAGCTCTGACAACAAACAAAAGGAAGAGACCGAACAGAGCAGGCTGGGCAGCGGGAGCCCTTCGGAGGCTGCAGGCCTCGCCACCTGGAGGGACAGGCGGCGCCATTGCGCCCCCTTCACCAGGACAGGGCCGGCGGGAGCTCCACTGGGGACTTCACCTACCTGCGGAACCTCACAGCACGGCCCGGCTACGTCACCTGGAGCCTTTGGCCTTCGAACAAAGGCAACGGCGCGAAGAGCAGGGCACCGCGGCAGCCACCAGGCGCCACGCCGCCCCGCAGGCTGTTCCGGCCCGCAGTGCGCATGCTCGGCGCCCGGAGGCGCCGCCCGCGCTGCGCCCAGAGCTGCGTCGAGGGCGGCTCCCCACCCGCCAGCCTCGGAGCCGCAAACCTGAGGCAACCTCTGGGCCGGGGGCACCGTTCTTACTTCCTCCCCGCCGCCGAAGGGCGGGCAGGGGCTCATTTGGGCCTTTGACCTACCTCCAAGAGCACCTGAGCATGTTCCCAGCTACATCTCCTGGATTTGCCTCCAGCAATAGGGCGTCGCCGTGTGACCCGGAGGCTGGTGCTCCAGGTGCAACAGGAGCCTGCCCAGCTTCAACCTGCTTCCCAAAACTACCCGGCGCATCAAGCCCACACAGAGGTCTCTTCTTTTACGTGGGACCACTTTGTGAACAACGAACCAGCTGTATACGAAGGCCGGGGCGCTTTGGGAGATCTCTGCTGGAATTCTCCAGGTTGGATGGGCTGGTGAGGGCCATGGTTTAAGTCCCCCTCCACCTCCATAGGGTGGCCAGGGCTCTGTCCAGGTGCTCTGGCCTGGCTGCAAAGTCTCTGTAAGGTGTTCCTGGACACATCATCCAAGCCCATTTTGAATGGAACAAAGGGAGCTAACAGGATCAACAGAGCAGCACCAAATGCACCTGGCCTCCCCATCTGGAGCTGCTCTGGCATAATGGGCCAGCATCTCCTTGGCACCCACTCTGGCTCCTACCAGCCTGCCAAAAACACACCTCACACACAGCCCGCACAGAGGCTGCTTCCATATAAAACCACTTTTCCAAGATTGGAAGGGACAGATATTTTGTTTAATTCATATAAACAAGCATAGAAAGTCAAACAAAATGAAAAGATACAAGAATGTCTTTCAAATGAAGGAACAAGAAAAGTCCCCAAATAAAAACCATAAGGAAGTGAAGATAAATAACTTGCCTGATTAAAAAAATTCAAAGAAACTGTCAAAAGGATGCTCACCAAACTTAAGAGTAAAATAGAGGAATTTAGGGAGAATTTCAACAAAGAATTAGAATGTATAACAAAGAATCAAGCCAACTTGGAAGTATACAATAACTAAAATGAAAAACACATTAGAAAGAATCAACAGCACATTAGCTAACACAAAATTACAGATAGCAACCTNCCGCGCTGCGCCCAGAGCTGCGTCGAGGGCGGCTCCCCACCCGCCAGCCTCGGAGCCGCAAACCTGAGGCAACCTCTGGGCCGGGGGCACCGTTCTTACTTCCTCCCCGCCGCCGAAGGGCGGGCAGGGGCTCATTTGGGCCTTTGACCTACCTCCAAGAGCACCTGAGCATGTTCCCAGCTACATCTCCTGGATTTGCCTCCAGCAATAGGGCGTCGCCGTGTGACCCGGAGGCTGGTGCTCCAGGTGCAACAGGAGCCTGCCCAGCTTCAACCTGCTTCCCAAAACTACCCGGCGCATCAAGCCCACACAGAGGTCTCTTCTTTTACGTGGGACCACTTTGTGAACAACGAACCAGCTGTATACGAAGGCCGGGGCGCTTTGGGAGATCTCTGCTGGAATTCTCCAGGTTGGATGGGCTGGTGAGGGCCATGGTTTAAGTCCCCCTCCACCTCCATAGGGTGGCCAGGGCTCTGTCCAGGTGCTCTGGCCTGGCTGCAAAGTCTCTGTAAGGTGTTCCTGGACACATCATCCAAGCCCATTTTGAATGGAACAAAGGGAGCTAACAGGATCAACAGAGCAGCACCAAATGCACCTGGCCTCCCCATCTGGAGCTGCTCTGGCATAATGGGCCAGCATCTCCTTGGCACCCACTCTGGCTCCTACCAGCCTGCCAAAAACACACCTCACACACAGCCCGCACAGAGGCTGCTTCCATATAAAACCACTTTTCCAAGATTGGAAGGGACAGATATTTTGTTTAATTCATATAAACAAGCATAGAAAGTCAAACAAAATGAAAAGATACAAGAATGTCTTTCAAATGAAGGAACAAGAAAAGTCCCCAAATAAAAACCATAAGGAAGTGAAGATAAATAACTTGCCTGATTAAAAAAATTCAAAGAAACTGTCAAAAGGATGCTCACCAAACTTAAGAGTAAAATAGAGGAATTTAGGGAGAATTTCAACAAAGAATTAGAATGTATAACAAAGAATCAAGCCAACTTGGAAGTATACAATAACTAAAATGAAAAACACATTAGAAAGAATCAACAGCACATTAGCTAACACAAAATTACAGATAGCAACCTGGAACACAGACTAGTGGAAATCAACCAATCAGAACAGCAGAAAGGAGAATGAATTTTTTAAAACAAGGGTAGTTTAGGGACCTCTGGGATAATATCAAGTGCTCAGAAGAGTTCAACCAATGGCAAAGTTCAAGCAAACCAGATGTGAGGTTCTGTCATATCAAGTAAGTAGTGAAATGACCAGAGACTGATCTTTTCAGCTGGGGGCAGGATCACCAGGAACACACCACCAGGCCCCTTAGGCTGCGAGCATATTTGCCACAAGAGCCAACGAGTAGCTGGGTACTAGGAATAAAAGCTGAGCAGTGGGAAAGCATCTTTACCCACTAAGCAAGCGCATAAACCTAAAGTGAAGTTGCATTTTTATTTTACAGGTGCGAATAACTTACCACCTCGAAGTGTCATGATGGAAGAAGTTAATGTGAGGAAAGAGAACAGACCCAGCGGGTAAGTTAACAACTTATGCATCCTTTTGGAATTGTAACTGAAATTGGCAAAAACCAAAGCAAAGGGAGGTGAGGGTCACACTAGAGAGAAAAAAAACACCTGAGACTTAGAGGAAAAAACCAGGATAGCCTGTTCAAGGAAAGGGGAAGAAAGGGGAAATTGAGATGTTTTAATGTCCCAAAATCATCACTTCAGACCATGGTCATTCTGCACCACATGGAGTTTGGATTCTAAACTGAATATCATTAACCCTCCTCTACCAGATACATTATTCCATATCTTCTCCATAACCACAGGCAAACAGTTATGTTTATCCACTCTGACACTAGAAGGGTCTGCTCATATATTCATTCAACAAATCTGTATTCAGCTGTCTTATTTTATTCAGATCCAATCCAGAGCAAGAGTTGGCAAACTATGTGGCCTGATAGCCAAATCTACCAACCACCTATAATTTTTTTTTACATTTTTAAATGGCTGGGGGGAAATGGAAAAGGCAAATATTTTGTGATATGTGAAAATTATATGAAATCCACTGGCCATAAAGTTTTAT